TGTATGTTTTCTACACAATTAGCTTTTATGCTTGTATTTGTTTCGAGAATAATGAAGCAAGAAACAGAAAGGAAACAATATACAAAGCTATAAGATAGGATCAATTATAGCGATCAACGAAGAAGAAAGTATCCTAAATGCTGACAAAAAACACTTAATATGATTGTTGTGACGCATACATAACTTATGCTAAAATAAAAATAAATATGGTTTATCAAGAGAGATAATTTATAGAAGAAAATATTACTATCAATAAATGGTCATACTTTCTTAACAACTTTCCTGAAATATTGATCAAAAATTTCTAAATCTATATAACGCAAACGTAACAAGAATAATTAACTTACTTTTAATAAGTTGACATAAGTATTTGTATTTATCAATGTATTATTTATGATAGTTCTAAAATATGCAATTAAATATACACGTATGCGTATTTTAGTTATGTCTTCTTATAAATGAATACACTTAAGTACTATCAATCAAAATAATATTTTGAATCTGGATTAATGTCTTCACTTAAAGGAAATTACAAGAAAGATAAGATATGATAGTTGACATTTTGAATATTATTGTGTTTATTAAAAATCTTAAGATAAGGTGTAAACTGATTGATAATAAATAATAATAAAAAACAACAGAAATCTTCTCTAAATACTTATGTTGCAATGCAAGAAAAAGATAAATAAAAAACAAAGACTTAAGAATTATATTCTCAAAAAAAATGATTAATACAGTTTTTTTTCTGTTATAAACGACAAAAGTAAATAAACAAATTTGTGAGATTAATCATCTGGAGTCAAGGACACTATACAATAATCAAGAAAAAATGATAATCTTTTATATTATATTGAGATTAAACACTAGAAAAGAATTACGTGATAATATTTCTAAATTTCTTAACACCAATAAATTGATGAAATACTATTTGACTACTCTGTTAGTGATCCTATTAGTTAATTACCTAAGAAAGTGATAATTTTTTCATAAAAAACAAGACTAAAAATGATATTAAAGAAGAAAAATAACCTATATGAAGTACTTCGACGTTTTATCATGATTAATAATAATCGATAGACGACAACTACTGTCGAAATATTATACCAATATAAATATAGAAGACGGAAATAGATTATCTTGGAAGCAAATAATTGTGAATAAAACTCATTTTGAATGATGATACAAATACATAAATATAATGATGATCAATATTAAAAGTTTTTATTCATCTTACTACATTATTTACCATCGGAAAAAATATAGAAATTTGTATTGTATGTTTTATTTATAACTAACAAACTCAAGCTATTCTACTAATAATATTCTGTACTCCATATGATATTGTTGATTCATTAGATCAAATAAATCTCTTCTAAATGTCTAATCAATATCCCAGAAGATCAGAGAAACAAAAAGAAATAGCTGGATTACTTATAAAGATCATGATATTGAGACAGAAATAGAATATATATATATGATAAAACGATGCTCACGATCTTATCGCTATAAACTATAAAGATTATATTTCATACATGAATATCATAAATCACAATAGTATATCATTGATAATTACATTAACTAATTGCAATAAAATTTAAATTTTCAAACAATAATAATAGAAATTATACTTTTCTTGAAATGCATTACTAAAAACAGAAAAAAACTACTTTTGATGAAATATGAAACAATAACAAGAAGAAGAACTCTACTCTATTCTTTTTGTTTTGTATATGATTTCAGAGAAAAGCATAATAATAGACAATAGATATGTTAATTATAGGACGAGAGTTATTACCGGAAACGTATTATATGAAATGTCGCTTCACATTAGTAAAGATATACATATATATTAATTTAAAAATTATCCTGAATTGAATGTTTCATGACATTCTCGATATATTATTTTGCAAAATTGATTTATCAATCTTGAAATATGATCTGTTTTTTGTCAATTTTCATAAGTAATTATTATATATGATTGATGAAAACAAAGCTGCTTTTTTTGTAAGACTATTGCCTTTATATTCAGTATAGTTATATATGATATCTGAAAAATGTTTATTTTAACTATTAGAAAAGAATTCAAGTTTTAAAAACAAAAATTTCATTTTCATTATTTTTCTTTAGTCAATGCTTTTTTCATTGCTTGTAAACATTCATTACTGGTAACTGCATTAAAATATTCTTTTTTTTCTTGTTCATTATCAATATTATCTAATTTAATTAAATCCGACCACCACTTCTTTTTAGTTATTTGAAAACCTTGTAATGGCCTTTCACTCATCATTGTTAACCATTTTCGTGATAAATCATCTGGTGTTTCACTTCGTTCACATCGAATTGGAAAATCAATTGATGAAAAAAGATTTGCATCGACAAGAAGACGATAACCTAATTGAGGTTCTAGTTGATGTTGAACAAGTTTAACTGCTTTTAAAGGATATGGAATACCAACAATAGGTCCAGTTATACCAATACGAAATGGTTTTCGTGTACCTATTGCAATATAATCACAAGAAAGTGCAAGCATAAGACCACCAGCAATAGTATGACCATCAAGTGAACAAGCAACTGGTTTTGAACAATATAAAGGTGCAGTCATACCACGACTAAGTGTATGAAATATGAATTTATCAATTGCTGATTGTTGTCCAGCAACAGATAGATTATAGACTGTCGAAAGATCAGCACCAGCACAAAATGTAGAACTAAATATGTAAAAAAATTAATAATCTATTGAACAAAGATATATATATACTTTAAATTAGAACGTAGAAGAACACCTCTCATTTTATTATCATTGGACGCTTGATTAAAAGCATCAGTAAGTTCATTTAATAATTCTGGAGACATAGCATTAGCTTTTGGACGATTCATTGATATAGTAAGAATTGCATCAGTAAATGACAGACTTAATGTCTTCCATTGATGTTTTAAAGCCAACATATTTTATTACAAGAATAGAAACACAATCTAAAATAATTCTAAATGATCAATTGAGATTGTTTGTATTCTAATGAATCTTACACAATACATAGTCTTTAATTAATACATATTTTGTTTATCAATCTAAGCAATATTGTATGTTAATGAGCTATAAAATACTTATATCATCAGTTAGGACTTGGTCGTTAATTCATATTTTTGTTAATATGTGTACATTATTTAGTTATTCAAAGATGTATATTAATATGATATATGATGTTTCAAACATTCTCTTTACATTTACTTAACTCAATGTGTTATATACTAATAAGATCTTATCTTCTCGATAAATATCTGGAAAAACAAATAGATGATACTCGATATTGCTACGTAGAAGGATAAAAATGCTTTACTTTATAGGAATATATCGTTTTCTTGTTATTATTTCTATAAGTACTCGATCTGATGTATATTCTTGTCATAGTTTTGATTGATTCTATTGAATGACAAACGATAATATTCATTTACAGATGGAGCTCATTCAAATAAAATAAACTTTAATTGTAACTATAATTTATTATAAACAAATATAAAAGATTAACTAATATCAATAGATTTATTATAGTTTTAAAAAATGTTCTATTCAAATAAGTTTTAAAATTAAGACAACTGTTTATTTCTTGAGCGTTTTCTTCATAGCTTGTAAACAATCATCACCACTAACTGCTTCAAAATATTCTTTTTTTTCTTCTTCATCAGCACTGCCAATTAATTTCTCTACATCTTGCCACCATTTCCTTTTAGTTATTTGAAAACCTTGTAATGGTCTTTCTTTCATCATTTTCAACCATTTTTGTGCTAAATCATCTGGTGTTTCACTTCTTTCACATCGAATTGATATATCAGTTGATGAAATATTATTTGCATCAAAAATTAATCGATGTGCAAGTTGTGGATCTAGTTGATGTCGTATAATTTCAAGTGGTACGACTGGAAATGGTACACCAACAGCTACTTCAGTAATACCAACAAGAAATGGTTTTCGTGTACCCATAGATATATAATCACAAGCAAGTGCAAGTATAAGACCACCAGCAATAGCATGACCATCAAGTGAACAAGCAACTGGTTTTGTACAAAGAAGAGGTGAAGCTACACCACGAGTAAGTGTATCAAATACAAACTTTTCAATTGGTGGACGATCACGTTTTGCACATCGTGCATACATATCAGAAAGATCCGCACCAGCAGAAAATATTGAACTAAATAAATGATATGTGTAACGTATATACTTTATAGACACTCTTTTTAAATAAATACCTAAAATTTGAACGTAAATGAACACCTTTTACATCATCATTTTTTGAAGCATGATTAAATGCTTGTTCAAGATCATTAAGTAATTCAATAGACATAGCATTAACTTTAGGTCTATTCATAGAAATAGTTAAGATAGCATCTTTTAAAGAGATACTTAAATTTTTCCAATGTTGCTGTATAGCTGCTGCCATAATATTATTGAAAAATATTGTTTTTTATTTTAATCATTCAAATATATATTATATTATCTTTCTTTTTCTTTTCTTTTCTGTTCTTTGATTTAATCTTCAAATGATAAGAGCCTCAAACAGATGGAGTATATATCTATACGATATTTTATTTAATTGATTTTCATTTTTAGATCCGTATGCAATAATTCAATAAAGAAAAATGAACGCTTTTTTTCTCGTGTATTTTTTTCTTTCTGATATAATAATATGACAAAAAAAGATATTTTTTGCATTATATGTCGATTGAACAGGGGGAAAAAACTATGTTAGTCTTTTTAACCACGCATAGCATGAAATGCTTGTATTGCATAACGCTTGCTATTGTGTTTATTATAATGATATTCAGGTTGATTTAAAGCTGATTTCAGTAGAAGTTGAATAAAACGTTCATTTGATAACGCTCTTGATTGTTCAGGATAAGATGTATGTGATGATGATCGAAATGGTAGATCATAATTTATTCCATAATCATCACTGGATTCATCCATGTCATTCGGTAATTGATCAGAATCAGTAATTGATGAAACAATTGGTGATGACGAGCAATAAGAAGAGAAGCAGAGAAGAACAAGAGCGATCAACGCTAATAAATAGAAGCGTGTGGAAAATGATGTAGTACTACCACACAATATAAAAAGTGCCATATCTGAAATGAAGCTATGAAAAATATTATTAATATTCCTTGTTAATAGAAATTGCTTTATGAGTTTTTTCTATTTATCTTATGGTAAAAGAACTGAATATATATACTAGTAAAATGAGATACTTACAATTTAACGGAGGTGTTTTCTCATTTATTTAATAGTACTCATACGCTTAACTTAGCAAATAAGTTCTTCTCGTAGTTTATATCCTAAACACGTCAAGATCATAGTAACAAGTCTTCTTTGCACAGAGAAGCAAAAAAGATATTTGATCACAATGAAAAATGAGAGAGAATTACTGGAGTATTTTATAGATAAAAAGATGAAGATCACGAGGACACTTTTGTGTCAAATGTGATTTAATATGTGACAATATTCATTTTTATCTAGTGTATGCTACTTATGATTATCTTAGTTACTTCATGTTAATAAAGATAGAACATATTTTTTTATGAAACTACATAGAATCGAAAACATATGATAAAAGCATCTCTTTTTTTCCCTAATAATTTATTGCAATACAGTAGAAATGAATAAAACATGGACTCATTATATTTTCCGTAATCTTAAGTATACTTTAAATTTTATTTCTTCTATTACTATATACTTGTAACTAGTGAAAAAAGAAGAATTTAAATTACCTAATTTCTATACAGAATGAATCATACTGACAGCAATCGATTATTGCTGTTTATACTAAACAATCACACTTACTATTCGTATAACGGATAGTAATAATATTGTAAGTTTTATATATATATATAATTTCAAAATTTACTTGGTATATAACAGGATGTTTCTATCACTTACCAGAAGGTGTAAATTCCTATTTGTATCTAAATGTAAATACTTTTAAGTAAAACATTGCACTGCTTATATACTACCTATCTTCCTCAATGTGTAATCAAGCTTAATACTAATCATGACTTCTTCCTTAAGGTATTCTCTTATCATAATCATACTAAAAAATATCAAGGGATTTATGATGCAGAAAAATCTGGTGAAAGAAACAATGGTTTTCTCTAAAAGTCAATCTATCTTATTCATGTTTATACCATTAGGTTTAAACATAAAATACGCCATACCAACAAAATCTTTCAATAATCATAAAAGCATTTATCCGCTAGACAATGTCATGTAACAAAAAAAAAAACAAAATTTCTAGTACAAAATGAATTCGTTTATATTTTATTTGTTATATTTACAGTATAGACTAATTTCCTTTTTTATTTATCAGATTGCATAGTTATAACAAAAAAATATTCGCATCTTTGTAAATAATAAATCATATTACTTGCTCCAGACGAATACAGTTCAATACAAAAAAAACAAAGCTAATATGCGTTCTATGAAAAATTCCCAAATGCATTTATTTTTCAATAGTAACTAATCTAATTGAGTGTGTATTTTTCTAAGTACAATGTTCATTTTCATAGTTGACATTTACATTCTTAAGAAGTAATTAGGAGATTTTACATATATGTATGGATAGAAAACAGTACCTGTCTTTTCTCAGATTGATTTATTTTTGTTAATAAATAATTATTCGATTTATTTTGATCATTAATAATAATAATAATAGAATAAATCGTCTATGTCGAAAACTATTTATTAATAAAAATTGATCATGAATGAAATATGAACTTTAAAATTATTGAATGTACATCATATCGAGACTATCCGTTATGAATTAAAGAAATTGATAGTTTCATTTTCATATATTCTATTCAGACAATCTTATTTCTCTATAATTATATCTTTGATATAACTATAATCGACTTCTTCTTTTTCAAACATTGCCGCCTCTTTTTAAAAAAGAAATAGGAGATCAAGTTTTATAGTAATTAATTTTTTTTCTTAAATAACTATTTGTAGGTGTAAGAAAATATCTTTACTCGTCTGAATAAGATCGTAAGGTTATGAAGTGAGTACAGATTTATTAGATGTTTTGAACTCTCTCGTTTAAATGACAAAATATTATCTTCAAAGAAAAAAAACTGTATTTTAAGTTGTATCTCATCAATGATCATAAATCGGAAGTACTTGATTAGAAATCAAGTACTGTTTGTTTATGTTTAATGTAGCAAATACAATGTCATATGTTACACGAAATTGATTATGTCTGTATTATCTTTCATGAGAAAAATCTTGATCATTATAATAATACTAAAACAAATGAGATATAGTCTTACTTTAGTTTTTTTATTGATTACAAACTTCAAAAATATATATGTTAAATGTGGAGGAGTTATCGGATAAATAGTGCATCGTTTTTTTCTCTATATTGAATCCGCTCTTTTTTTGTCTTCATTCATTCGTTTATGCCCTTAAGCAAACTCATCATCATGAGATTGACTAATTATCATACTGTCTAGAAATGATGTTATATAGCCAAGAGCAATATTCTTTTCGAGATTTATTTTACACTGTTTTGTAAGGAGAGTGAAAAAACAAGACAAACAAATCATCTGACAATATAAGATAGATATCACAGGTAGAAGAATTTAAACGACTAGAAATATAAATGTTTATTTCAATTAATTATCGTTTATTGTAAAAGCCAGTTGAATAATTAACCAAAAATATATACATTAATAATATTAAATAGAGATCATATGTTACAAATGATGAACGATTCAGTAGAAGTTCAATTTGTGCTAAAAAGATAAAAAAAAATATCAATAAGAATGCCGCTTTATTTATGTACAATTGTCTGATAAAAAATTAATCTATTTTCCGTTTACTAAAGAAAATCTGAACTTACCATAAGATGGTGATGTTGATGATGTTCGTCGATGTTTCATTATTGTTGTATTCAATAAGACTGATTCTAAATAATTTTTTTCTCTTCCATTGTATATTATAATAGAAATTATCTTACCATCAATAATAATAAATGCTTTCGATACTTTAAATTGATTTTCAGCTTCACATTCATACATACCAAATATATTTGTATAATTCATTGGATCAATCTTAATAATCAAAATAATTTTTATTTATTTATTTTTGAAATTTTAATTTTACTTGTAAGAGAAGTATTAATTGAATAGTATAATCATTGATTTCTATACGTTTTATATTATTTATTTCAATACGATTTCGTTTCCATTTTATAGATGTTAATGGACGTGCTGTTATAGTACAATTGAGTAGAATTTGAGAAGAAAATCGAGAAAATGTTGATTGAATTATTATTTCAGGTGGAACTAAAAAAACAAAGTTCGTATGAAATAGTTTTCTTTTTGTCTTAGTAAGTGAATATGACTGTTAACTAATGGAAAGACTTTGTTTAAAAGATTAGTACTTTGTGTCTAGAGCATATTGAATTCGATAATATTTCAACATAGACTATCATAATCTCAAAGGAATACATAATTTTTTGTTTATGAAAAACTGACTAAGTCATAAGTGTCTAAATCCATTAAAAATTTATTGCACCCTGCCAAGATTTATTTGTTCACACGCATGTGCGAATGAGATATATCCATGTGGTGTAGACATTCCGAGTTTTTTTTTTGTTTTTTATTGATGAACATAATGGTTGAATGAATGACAGAAGGAAAGTGCACAAGCATGTGTCCACTTTCAAGATCGTCATTCATCGTTCGTTCGTTCGTTCTCTCTCTCATCACATGTGCACACAATCAGTCACTATATATGTATATTAAAACTAATCATTATATTATAATCTCTAATTTCATGCCATTTTAACCTCCTACTGTCTGACAGAAAAAAGACTTTTCTTCTTTCTTTTTTTTATGAATGTCACAAGTGTTTCTCTATTTATTTGGATAATTGAGTCATCTAAAGTACGTAATACTCTAGTGTATTCATTCTTGATAAGATGACATCTTTTTTTTTCTTTTATTATATTAAACAATAGACAAGAAAAGATGCTTACTAGCTGGAACTAAATGTCTTGTACGTGTGTCACGTGGTGGTATACCATTATCAGCAATACATTGATAATCCATTGGTGTTGTACGAGAAAAATTCCGTATAAATAGTTTATTATCGAATGTTATGATATCTAATAGAAATAACAAGACAAATGTTCTTTTTGTTCGATCACAAAAATCCTTTCTTACTACGATCATTTGGCTTTGTTTCTGGTAGACTCCAACGAATTTTTGGTTGTGGATTTCCACGAGCTAAACATTTTAAAGTAACTTGTTCATTCTCAATAAGTATTCCATTATTATTTGATTCAATTGTTATATCGACAATCTTAGGCGGTGCTAGAAAATAAAAAGGCATAACTAATCAAATTTGTCTAGAAAAAGAATCATTCAAACACTTGATTTCATCCAGACATATAACAATTTTCAAATAAGAAGCAAAAAGTACACATTGATCGTTTAATTAATGAGATAAATAAAAGTCTTTTTCTAATATAAATATAGTTAAAAAAAATTTTCTTTTTCCGTCAAAGTATGACTTTTATATGATTTGATCGTTTATATAAAAATTTATTGTGTGAAAATTTCCTGTTTAGTCTCATCAAATAACAATCGGAAACACCTTTCATTAGAAAGAAATAAAAAAAAACAAAATATGGTCACAGATGAGTGTGAAAGATAAAAATCAATGCTTACTTAAAACGGTCAAATTAAATCGTTTTATGATTGTCAATGTCCGATCATCGGATGAAACACGACATGTATATTCACCTCCATCATCATCCGATACGTCTGATAGAATAAGACTCCACGTCCAAGCATATCTAAATAATATAAATAACATCTTTTGACATTATACCGCATTGTATATTGACCATCGGATCAAATAAAAAAAAAACCTCACGTACGGATGTTCAAGCATAAAACGTGTACGATCATCACTATCAATATTTTCACCGGTCGATGTTACCAATAAACGTCCCATAGGTCCATAAAAATCTGCCTAGAATATATATATATATATATAGATATATATTTCCCAAGTGAGAATGATGTAATAGATTTTTTTTATTGATTATTGAAAAGGGAGAAAAAAGAAACTTACGGGTTTATTCGAATATCGTTCAGGTAGATCACATATAAATGTTGCTGTTTCACCCGTATTTATAGATATATTTTCCAAATTATCATCCGATGTAATAATGGGTGATAAAAATATCAGAAGGATAAATATGCTTACACTTAAAATCATATGAATATCTGCTTTTTTAACATCAATACCTTGTCATATCTAGAAAAGAGAACAAACGTCTATGAATGTCTTCTCTAGCAGCATTATTCATTCAGTTTTTTTCTCTCTCTCTCTCCCTCTTCTTTTTCTCTTCTTTCTTCTCTCTTCTCTCTGTCTTGTCCATACACATAATTATAAATATATATATATATGCGTGTGTGTGTGTCTATGTTCATTTTTGATTCAGTACGTGCGTGCATAGGTTAAGAGAGAAAGCATGACTGATTATCATTCATACTTGCGAAGACATAAACGAGAGAAAGATTGAGTAGAAAATTATAGACCTTGAACAAATTGAAAAAGAAATCATCTTGCTGGAACACTGAACAGTGTGCATTCGCGCGCATGCGAATACACACAAATCCTTCGTCTTTCAACATATTTATTTCATTATAATCTTTTCTTTTTTTTGCTTTCTGTCTCCCACTTCTATACGAAGAGATTACTCAAGGTCGAAAGAAGCCTTTTGTTTTTCCATTATATATCCAAAAAACTAATTGGAAAATAACAAATTATATTCATTGTGACAAGGCTATATTATTCAATGATAAACGAATAATTATTGTAAGAAAAAGACAGAGGTCAAAAATATTGCCTACCTGAATATGATAATATCTTGTAAAAGAACTTTTCTTTTTCTCTATAATTGGATTCAAGTGCATTCATACATATAGATTCTCATTTGAAGAATTCTTCTTCTTCTCTCGTTCCATTTTTTTTTGACTATAATAAAGACAAAAGAAGGAAGTGAACCGCCAGGAATAGATATAAAAAAAAAGGAAGAATGAATTTAGTCTGAACACGAGCGGAAAATGACAACCATACGACAAGTTGCAATGACCTGTTGATTCTAAATGCTACATCTATATATATATATATGTTCAATTAAAGAAAAAGAACAGTGGTGGCATTAAGTTAGAATATTAGAGATGAAGCGAATGATCAAAGTGTATACTCTATAGTTCACTGCTATCAACAATAAATATACACATATAAATATATGCATCAATAAGGTAGTTGATTACTCAATATAATTTTGTGATCTCATGTACGTATATACATCAGAGACAAAGAACAGATGTAAGAGATGAGAGACAACATGCAATCATTCGTTCGATGATGACGATGATGAAAAAAGGCACGAACAATGACAATTGATTCTTGACAAGCGTTAATGTTTGTTGATATACATAATTTGTCTACTTTGACTTTTTGCTCATGAATAGCTAAGTGATGTTTCAAAATAAATAGGTTTTGTCATACCAATGACTAAATCAAATTGAGATAAACAAACAATGAATAGGGAGAAAAAAAATAACAGAAAATGATAGATAGAATTGAAAGTTTTTATTCAACAAAAAAGAAATATTTATCGATTGATTTTCATTGTAATTCTATGAATGTAACATATGCTAATTTAAAATCCATTTTTTATTGTACACCATCTGTTTATCTGAATAATAATAGATGGAAAGGGGATCATCATCGATTGAAAATGAAGTAAATTATGTTCTTTATTGTTGGAATCAGGTTACTAATAAATTATTTCTTTGTTCGATAAATAACAATGAAATAGATACAAGGTGATCATAGTGAATAATTAATTGAAGGACACATTTATCTTTTTTAATTACCTTGATATATATTATTTAAACTAATGATAATTATAAAACTTTGATTACATTTGAAAGTTTTGTTAATGGTGTTTAATAAAGAACCAATGATTGATAGTGTGCTAGAAATACTTTTAATAAATCCAACAATTGTGTTTTATCATGAGAATTCAACCTTGATTAAGGTCTAATAGGTATTTATTTATCACGCTCACTTTATATTTGTGACTGTTCTTTTAATTTATATTAATCTCATATTTTTTGTCAAATTAACATTGATAGATATGAAAAGTACATGAAGCTAATACGTTCTATTCTAACTACATAGAATAAATAGATTAATAAAGACAATAATAAGACATGCAAACCTTTACAAACAATATTCATTATATAATAATATTATAACCATATACATATTTAATAGATTTCTTTTTATTATGATTAATATTTGAATGTATTATCAAAATCTGGTAGTATTTTTACCGGAAACCAACGTGAAGTTTCTCTTTATCAATCTCTAACTAATTTATAACTGGTAGTTATAAATAAACTTAATTCGAATCCTTAGTCTATATGGATACATTACTATTGATGTGTGTAGTCTTTATTCAAAATGTATATACATATTCATTATTTTGTCAATGATGATAGACGTGTGTTAAATTGTAATTATATCTATTCTAATTCTATCCAACAGTAATATCATTTAATTCTTATAGTTCACAACTGATTGTGTTGATTTTTAGAAATACTAGATAGTGTAGTTCAAAAGTGATATTGAATTTTCATACACTTTTTTCAATAATATTTGATCTATATAATTAGGAGATCGTTTTGATATCTCATTTTTTATTTATTCTCAATCATTCTAGATTAGGATATCACTTTCAAAGTATGTATATTGATATTATGAAGAAATTAAAATTTATTCTAACTAAACACATGTTAACTTAATCTTTCGTGTAAAAAAGAAACTTGTTAATAAGAAATTTTTGCATTATAATTTTACACTATTATGTACAAGAGGTTGTTTGAAATCATCATTAGGTAAATACCGATTTGATTCATCTTCAAAATCTTGAGATTTTCAAGAAAAATTGGTACTCGCAATAATAGAGATGGAGCGGTATGGGTGATTAGTTGTCACACCCACACCCGCACTCTTATTCGAAAATAAAATCAATTATAAAATATGAAAAGCAGATATAGATTATCTGTAATCGGATTTTTCAATGATACTTTTTTTGTAGAAATTGTATTTGATAATTAAATGGATCAAGTGTAATATCCGATGGGTAATTAAATGATGTTGATGATGCTCTATTTGATGCATGTAAACTACCTGCGATAAATGTTTAATTACGATTTCCAATTCCCCAACGAATTATGTTATAAGCATTTGTATTTACAATAAAAACGGTGTTGTTATGGATAACTTAAAAAGATAATATCCACACCCTTAACTTCCTCTAATAAAGTAAATAGAAAGATAAGTGACGATGAGCCATCTAAATATATTTTTCATTATCATTTAATTATACTACATCGTTTTTATTTCAAATTATACAGTTAGAGGTGAATTAAAACACTGAAAATAATCGATATTTTTGATAAATAAAAACGACCACATTTCGCATTGTTTCATCGTTATTATCGAGGAAGATAATAAGCAGCACAGTATTGATCAATGATAATAAGACACATACAAAATCTGATATTGAATGAGAGCGTTTTGTGATCGATCCATGTCTAATATATCATTCTCTATCGTATGAGAACTATGTCGAATAAGAGGTACATAAATCGTAAATACCTATATAGAAAAAAACCTATGAAAAATATGATTAAACTCGATTTTTTCGTAAAAATCAAAAAAAATCGATTAATTCATTCAAAATAATATATTATAATCAATTTTAATCACAATGAAGAAAAGAACATGTTTTTCTCCGTTTTCCAATTATCGGTCGAACTTCTCGATTTTTTTTTTGGAATCCTCGCATCGATAAATAATGAGTAAATATTAGAGCAAGCTGTGATGCCATTATCCTGCTTCCAGGCTTGCTATAACTCGATACTCACTAATTTATGCAAAAATATTAATGATCTTGATTAAAATTGATGATTGGATAAAAATCGAATAAAATCGGATAATAATCGCACATGATAGGTTCTAGAAGATTACACATTTGAACGATAATAAAAGAAAATCGATTTTTTTTCTGCCTAAAAATCGGATTAAAATTAGATTTTGCACGCTTTTTTTTACATAAATAAAAATGGCCACACAAAAGGAAATATAAAAACGACAACAAGTTTTTGTAGAAGAAGAATTTTCTTGCTTATTGTATAACTGATACTTATAGCAGAAAAGAAATGTACAAGAAACAACTGACTATTCATTTTCTGTTTTCTTTCATCAACATAGACATTAGTATATCGTTCGAGAGACAACATTTATCTTGACTAGCTGTCATTTGTTCTCTTCTCTGATATTTTTCTCCTACTGTGGAGACAAACGACCGTCGTTTATTAATATATCAGCATGGCGAACATACGATATTAACATAATGCGTTATTCGTATAGATTCTTTTTATTTACTTTCTTTGCGTATTTTAACTGTTACAGCTCTAACGTAATAAGGTGAAAAAAGATTATTGAAGTGATAATATCTTTTATACGAGAACTATATTTATTCTATAGATTATTATTTTCAAAATAGAATATATATTTTTGTATAATCGTCAACATAACACTTCTCTTTTTCTATCTCTTATACGAATTGACATAAAATATTCTTTCTGCGAGACAGAAAAAACAATAATATCATATAGTTGTCTACTGTACTTTTACTTTTATTTCAGGTTGAAAAATTTGTGATGACATACCTAATGATGAAGATGGAAATTGTATTTCTACTACTACCACTATTGACATTCAAATGGGGAACATTAGCGATGAAATATGAATCGAAGGTAGAGAACCATGATCTTAAAGTAGCACTTAGCGATAACTTTATCGTCGGCGTTTCGAATCTTCGAAAAACTTATATTTTTTATTCGATATCGAATGTAATTCAAAATTCGTCATGTATCATTAACAATCCACATAATGAACTTAATATCTACGGTCTTTCAGTCTTAACAATGAAGCAAAATAATATTATCTCTTTCGTTCAACTTGCCGAAAATAAGACATCTAAATCTGTTGTAGTAACTCGAATCACTGTGAATTTAACGATATGTGGTAGTAATCTAAAACCACAGCCTGTTTTTCGTCATACAACAGTATGGAACGAAGGTCATCAGGAACATATGTTTCTAAAAGTTGATCCACGAGAAAAATTCGCGTATGTCTTTGCCGATGCATTTATACTTTCTTATGACTTATCTTTCGATAAAATCAATCAAATTAATAGAACTAATTCTATCGTTTTCGGTAACAGTTATGGATCGTTTACTCCTTATGCATTTGATCTAAAGAATGATTGGGCTGCTGTTGCAGGATTTCATTTAATTCAAAATTATTCTCGAAGTAAACAATGTCTTTATATATTTGGACTTCAACCACTACGTATAATTAATATAAGTGCTATCGGTGTTAATGATATTCAAGGAACTGAAAGAACTAGCTATACTCAAGATTATGAAATGTCACTTTCAATTAATCCTTCAGGAACGACAATAGCTATTGGTGAAATTCAGCTAAATAAAGTGACAATTGCGTATATGAGTGGTAATAAAACATTTCGATCCGTTTCAAAATTTCATGAGATTAGTGAATTGGAGAATTGGACCGGTTTTGGTCGTTCAGTTAGCTGGCTCAATGATGATGAAACACTCGCTATTCTCGTGCTTAAAACGATGAATCATAGTTCGTCGCAATCGGAAATACAAGTATATAAAAACATATTTCTTAATCGAACTCGTGGTTCAATTGTACCTACCTTTGTTATCCCGAATACTCAACAGACTTTGAATGATATTCAACGCTCAAAATCCTGGAGTAAACATTCTTTCCGTCGTATTCGGACACGCTCGAACAGTTTGTTAATTCAGCTGAAAAATGCTGATATCATATATATTCCATCTGCTGCTGCTGGCTTTTGTTCGATGGAGCTCGTATTAATTAACTTGCTAAATCTGTATGTCTTACAACCAAGACCATGTGTGAGTGGATCTTATAAAAATACATCTGGTCCTGGTCCGTGCACGGTTTGTCCATCACGTACAAAAAATCCTGGAAATTATCCGTCAATTCAATGTCGACCTTGTAATTCAACTGCGTTTTGTCCATTGGGTGCTAGTGACGAAATCAATTTAACTGACTTTAATTCGTATATTCAAACATTCAGTTATCCAGATACACCTATTATCGATGATTACGATGATTTATTATTATTAAAATTTTTTCCTTCTAATATGAAATGGAGTTGTTTGATTTTTACACCTCTTTTCTGGACTCTAATGGCTACCATACTATGTTTAATGGTGTGGTTTATTATGTTTCTTATCAAACGACGACGTCCAAATCCAGTCGATATCTACCGTCAACGAGCAAAGATCGTTTTAAAACATACCGATCTTATTGGCGAAGGAGAACGATGGATTGGTGGTCTCGCATCAATCGTCATTTTTACTATTATCGTATATTGTACTATATTTGCTTTCTTTTACTTCTCTTCATATCCGATCGAGACAGCAGAGGCAGTCGACAGAGCATGTGATAACAATCAGCGAAATTCAAAATTCGATAATGCACTTCAACTGCCCTTACCTGAAACTGATGGTACTTATTGGAAAATATTCGATATGCTCAACAAACAACCGTTCGCTATGACTATACATCTGATAAATACACGAGCTCAGTGCAATGATATCATTGTTGAACGTAACAGACGTACGGGTACTCCTTTATCAGTAGTCGAAACAAACTGTACACTATCACCAAACAATGTTAGTGGTTCGTTTAGTTTTGATCTACCTACTCATAAGTCCTTTGTTCGAGTTGGTATCAATGGGCCGTACTTTATCGGAGCACTTCGTCTTTGTCTACATGGAAAACCTTCTGTCGAAGATGAAGATTCCGCGGTACATGATTTACACAAACTTGATGTATGTACTCTTTTCTATACAAATAATCAAACTATTGGACTCTCGACTGATTTCATTGTACGTCTCATCAAAGTTATTAATGTAACAAAACCACTAAAACGAAATGATAGAACTTTATATGGTGGCATTTGGACACCATTTATTACGTATACCGATATTCTCTCGGATGAATTGTATTTTGCGGAAAAGGGAGAATACTTGCGATATTCTTCTAAACAAAAGACTATTAATATTCATTTTGAAGAAGAAATCTATTTTGTTCAAAATAATCAAGCACCCATTATTCGTCGAGGAGCACTTTTCTTTCATACAGTGCTCTTTAGTTTTTCACTTATAGAAATATTTGCGATGATTTTTCTTCTTTACAAACTTTGGTTTCATCCCATCCGTCGACGTATTCTAACATCTCATGACGATCTAGCTGAAAATGAATTTCAGTCGCACATAGCTATAGATGTAAGTTTTTTTTTCTGGTCCTAGAAATTTTTTTATATCATCAAACAATAGTACTTCATAACTAATCTATAATTTTTTTCAGTTGAATTCACAGTTATCACAATCATCGAAACTACGAACGCTATCTACGACCAAGAGTGCAAAATGGCGTTGGAACCGAAAAGTGAAGACCAATCAAAACATCCAAAAACGCCAACGTACAAAGGATGGTGCAAAATTCTCAACGAAGTCAGAGATTGTTGAATGCTTGGACAACCCGTTAACTTCACCGTCTCCTTTAATGACTTCATTAAGTACTATTGCTAATGTTTCTTAAGGGTGTGAGATTGAATCTAATTAAAAACTCATTATTCTAAACGAAAATAAATCTATTTAATTGTTTCACCTATTATTACGATGAAATCTATAACCATATACGTCTATTGCATAAGTATCTTCTTCATTATCAAGATTAATAATACTAAGAGCATTTGTTCAATACATAGAATAACAACTAGGTTTAACGATTTAGGTATATCATTCTTTTTTTTTTTCCATTTGATATACGTTTGCATTATCGTAAAGACAATTCCGATCCGACGAAAAAGCTTTTGAATATGCAGTATAGTAAGTCACACAGATTCCATTCACATCTAACAGTAATAGATATGGTAATTGCGATGAAAATAACAACAAAAAGAAGGATCAAATTACTTTTTCAATTTTGCAAGATACTAATCTTGAGGGTGTGGGTGTAGATGTCTCTCTTTTATTACAGCCAACTCTTAGCCGCCGACACCCACACCCTTTAAGACGGTTTCTTTTAAATCAGCTTATGGAATTTTGTTTATATATGCGATTTATTATTTTAATTTCAGCGTGTATCTAAAGCAAAATGAACACTATGATGAAACAAATACTTAATTACGTGACACCATCAAAGAGAAAGTCACCTTGCGGATGGGTGTGAGTATAAGTGTACTGATGATGAATGAGAAGAAAACTGACATTCTCACCCACACCCACATCTGCAAACAAAAAATTCACAGCAGTGACTTTCATTAGTTATTCAAAGTTATATCTCGTCTTTAAAGTGTCTAGCTGAATTAATGTCAATTGGCGATTGTTCAATTTTTATACTCATGACGTTTCATCATGATTAGTTTTCTTCATGTCTATAATATGAAGATCCATACTTTACAATATGTTCGGCTCTTCAATTGTCATTACAGTTACAACTTGACCGACACGTTGATGACGATATCTAATTATATAATATCCGATTCGAACTATAATAGGAACCATAAGTTTAAATACGACTGTCAAACCACCATAAAGACCAATAATAGTCGTTATTGTATAAATTGGACTTATCTGTCCATCAAATGTATATGTGCACGAAAGAGGATCACATGCTGCATAATAATGTTCATAAACTACTTCAGTCCCCCATCTTTCAATCAGAAGATTATTGACTATAGATTGAACTGTAATATTACGAGACGACAAAGTATCATTTAATGGATTAAATGTTATATTTGAATGTGTATACATAGACTTGAGTTGATTAATACATGTTATATTATAGAGACATTCAAGTGTTGATTGAAGAAGTGATTCAAGTGGATAACATCCAACATGAAAACCAGGAATAGTTATTCCATTAAATGAAGCTTGTGAGATACAGGTTGAACTTGCACCACAAATGCAATTATCATTATCATAAGAATGTGGAACAGCCCATAGAGCATCATATTGAGCTCCAGTATCTAACGAAACAAAATGCCAATTTGAAAATATTGATGAAACAATACCGTTTCCTTGATTTATATATCGAATAAAATCAAGATTTAATACAAATGTTCGAGGAGTTGATAAAAGAAATTGATCAAGAATAATATCAGTTTGTGCTTTGATAGACTCTTGAGATTGTGCTATTTCATTAATTATTGTATTTCGTGCGAATTCAGTCATTGCGTCATTCACTGTAACATTAGCAAGTGAACAAAGTGCTGCAAGTAATTGGAAATGTGTCGTAGCGAAGAGGCGATAATCATCATATGAATAGTCAATACCTGCTGTATACGAAAAAAGTAAAGAAATCCAAGTAATACTGTTTACAACAAAATCACTCGAACATAATTGATGATAATATGGTTTAATTGAAATAAATGAACTATAAGGAACAGCAATAGTTTTACAAGGACAATCAAGTGTTATTGAATATTGAGGATCTGATCGAAGCTGATTAAATTTCTCTTGAGATGGATTAAGAATTTTAACTATTTCAGTTTGTGTCTCAATCAACGTGTAAACGACTAGAATAGCAACAGCAGCCATAAGAAATAATAGATAAACGCGTGTAATAATAATTTCTCTTTGTTGTCGTTGTTCATCATCCCATGATAACTCACTTTCAAATAAGTTAAGTCCTAATAATTTCGTTTTTAATATACGCCAGACAGTTGTAACGTTGAAAACTGTTGCACGTTGATCTAAAATAAATACATTATATACATAATTGTTTCTTTGAATTCTAAAGTATGGAGGATGAGAAGAGATTGACATAATATTTAAGATGTGTTGTGCTAACACAAAAGAGCATAGATATTAAGTTTTAGGATATTTTAGGCATCTCCAGAAACAGTCAGTCAGTCAATCATCCCGGATATTTATATTAGATATGACTCAAAATTTTTCTTGTCAAAAAGGCTTTAATTAGTGTTATTATTCATACATGATAATTAACAATCTATTTTTATATATCTTACCTGTTACAGTATTTGTCTGTTCATGTGGACGCATTCGATTTCGTATCCAACGAATGATGATTGAGACAATAATTTTGAGTGCAACTGATAAGCCACCAAATAGCCCAATGAGTGTAGTAATTGTTTGGACCGGATTATTTCGAGAAGTATATGTATATGTACATTGTTCTGGTGCACATATCTCATAGTATTTCTCATAACTGATCTTTTCATTCCATGCTTCAGTCATAAGATTATCAAGTATTATTTGGATACGAGTATGAGGTGAAAATCGAGTACTATTTATATTAAGAATCTTTATATCAATAGATCGAGCAGATTCTACCTCATTTTGAATCATATCTAAGCATGTTTGATTAAAGAAACATGAAAGTGTAGAATTAAGAACACTTGGCATTACGTAACAACCAACTTGTAGATCGGATATTGTAAAGTTTAGATAGTATGGTGCGTCAGTAGTAAGACCATTAGTATAATAAAAGAAGCTCATTACATCAGTACATTGACCATTAGGAATACATGAACATGTATCTGTTTCTACTGGCTCCCAACCAAAATCAACTTGTGTTGTACTAGTAGCTAATTGATCTGTATAAAGCTGAAGATTGTCAAATCCCATATTATACATAGTTCTCGTATTTAAATCAGCAAGTGAGAGAATACGTTTAAATTCATTTAATGTATTTTCTTGAAATTGTTCAATTGTCGCATTTGTTCGAGTCTCAAATTCTGATTTCGTTACTACTAAATCAGTAATCAGTAGTGATTGACTAAATTCGTACCAAGCATCAGAAATAGTTATGTCTGAAAGAGAACATAATGTGTGCATAGCGTTGAAAAAGATTGGACCAGTTACATGAAAATCTAATGGATCAAATGCTGCATCCGGTATATTCACATCTGATAAAGAAATAATCCAAGCTTTAGATATAAATTGACTTGAACATATAGGATGAAATGTAGGAGATAATGAAGTAAATGATTTATAAGAATTGGCAATGAAACTACATGGACATTGAAGTGTACTCGTATATTTCTCATTTAAATTTTCAAAAATCATTTGAGATGGATTTTGTAGAGTTTCAGTACGGACTTGAATTGATGCCAATAAATAAATGGTTACAATACATACAGCAAGTAGCATTGTAATCAGATAAACATAAGTCATAATTCTTGTAGTCTTTAGTTCGAAAGAATTAATACGTGCTTCAGCTGTTTTGAATAAATTCAATTCAATTACTTGAATCTTCATCAAGTTCTGTGTATTTCGAAGACGCTGTAATATAGTGACTGAAAACAGAACATTTTAATTTATCTGATTTAACAAGAAAAAACCTACCTCTATTACGTTGAATAGGATTCGCAACCTTTCGATTACGCCAGAAATGAACAGCATATGGGATGCACATACGTAATGCAACTGTAATTCCACCATAAACACCTAATAGAGTCGTTAAAACTTTCAGAAAGCTGTTACGTTCTGTAAATGTATAGGTACAAAGAACTGGGGCACATTTAGCATAATAGGAACTAAATAAAGTTTCTATTGACCAGTCTTCAATAAATAAATTAGTAGCAAGGTTTTCAATGGTTGTATTGAGTTCAAAGTGTGTCTGATTAATATTTAGAATATCATCACCAGTAATATTAATTGTTGGAAAATATGCTAAGATATTACTTAAACATATGGAATCGAAGAAACAAGTAAGTGATGAATTAAGAAGTGCATCAAAAGCATAGCATCCAACTAGAAATCCGGTTACATTAAGGGAAGAATCTGGTAGATAAAATGCTCCTTGTGTTTCATAGGCATATACATCATCAAAAAAGGCAGCTTGTGCATAACAGACTGAAGTAAGACCACAAAAACATTCTGAATTATCATCACCAGGCCAAATCGTTGAATATGGATATGCTTCCATTGTTCCATTGGGATAAGAATCTAGTAATTCCATCGATGATGTTTGCATTGCTGGTTGTAAACCATTCATTAGACTTGTATCACGTACCAGATTTAGAAGACGACGAAATGTAGAGATTGTTGAAATTCTTACAAATTCGGCATTTGCTTCACTTTGATTTTTGAACGATGCTGATGAAAGAGTCAATGGACTCAAGAGAAAATTAGAAAAAAAATCATCAATTGCATTATTTAAAGCCTGATTAGCAAATAAACAGAGTGAAGCAAGAAGTTGAAATTGACCATTACCAGATGAACGAAAATCGAACGGATAGTAATACGTCATATCGGGACTAAATAGAAGATTGATCCAAGAATCAGAGACAAATACACTTGAACATACAGGATGTAACTTGTATGTTATATTAATAAATGTTTTGTATGGTATTTCAATTTGACTACATGAACATTGAAATGTTGTTGAATATTCAGATTGAAGTCTTGTTAAATATTCGGAATGGTATCGATCAAAAGTATCTTGAGATGGATTTCGAATATTAATGCTTTGTGTTGTGTTTTCCAAAGCAGTAAACAAAGCGAGTATAAATATAGCAATAGTCATAAGAACCATATATATTCGAGTTGATATAAGTTCAGTACGCAAACGATTTGGATTAGTTTGAGTAACTAAACTTTCGAAAAGATTCAAACTAATAAGAAATTCTTTGATAGTCCGAAGACCAGCTATGAAATTCATAATAAAGTAATCTAAAAAATTGAAAAAACTTCAGGGTGTAGGTGTTGATGTGTGTACTTTTAAGTTTTGCCATGGTAGAGCAAATGAAAATTTACCGAAAAGGGCTACCCTAGAAAATACGTCAAATATATCTACATACTGTAAAAATATCAGACAAATCGACGACTTCAATTAAGCGAGCTTCTGTTGCAAGTAGATGTGGATTTTAAGCCTTTTCGCCCACAATACCGTTCTTCAAGCAAGTAAAAAGAGAGATAGGTAATAATTGTATAGATATGACAATATTTTCCTACGGATTTTAAAAACTGTTTGTCAGTTAATCTGATATCACAACATTTTACATTTTAATACAATTACTGACAGATCCTGTAGATATATATAAAAAGAATCGTAGCAATTATTTCGACGGAATCCTTGTTAAATTAATCACTGTAAAAAGTAATAATTAACAATAACATATTAGATATCAACCATAAAAATAAATATAAAAAAAGTACTGGAATAGTGCGTTGTAAATATCGCAATAACTTTTATTTTTAATTACTTTTATAGGAACTTTACAGTAAGATAATTACGCATGAAAAAAAATAAAAAAGATTTTAAACAATGGAACTAAATAGATTTTTAGTAATTTGGATGAAAAATAATGGAGAAGACGATCCTTACTACAGTAATAATCATAGTTAAATAAGATAAAGCGATATAACATTCTCATTTTATTTATTAAGTTTGAAAAGCTTAAATTTAACATTTCAGAAATCTGTCGAATAGTATTCTTCATTTGAAACTCGTGACTTCATATCAACGTTTTTCGTTAAAACCAAAACATGATATATTGAGGTGATTGACCTTACTATTGTGTCAAGTCATCTTTTTGTAAGATAGTACTATTTTCATCCATATTAAAATACAGATACTTTAAAAGATATTCTTCTGTATTCGTAGAAAATAGAATAGAACTGGAAGACTATAGAATAATGAGAAGAGATGTGCCTGAATACGTTTTCTCGAGTATATAACTCTATTTCTATTGTAAATAACTGTTGTATGAGGATAGGAACGTTCGATTTAGAACGAATAAATATTTACAAACATTTGATAATAGAGGAATTCTAGTTGCAACTCGTCTATTTTCCTTAACAACTTACCCGGACAAGTAAAATAATAAAAATGATTGTGTTTTTTTTTATTATTTCTCATTTTTCTTCTAAAACTCTTCAAACTACTCATATGAGTATTCAACCGATTTTTATATTTTTATTCATGAACAGGCATATGCATGTAATACATCAACTATTTAACAAATGTTTATCAAAAGAAAAAAAAGAAACAAGTTATCATGTTTATATAAAAATCATCGATAATTACTAGAAAATTATATAGAAATAACTCGTGAATAATAGAAATGTTCAAAAAATTTTTTATTTTATAAAATATTATCAATCGATATTGATGTATTATCATGTTAGATTATTTCTGTATGATTTTGGTATAGATGAATTTATTTTGTAATAATCAAACTTTAGTTTTCATATGAAACTATTCTTTACAGTTTTTCTAGGGTAATAATAAATCTACAAAATATATTATCATACCTTGTTATTTATGATATTCTGCATTGAACAATAAGACTCTTCAAACAAACTGAGAAAAAAGAAACAATAATGAGATTTTTTATTTTAAACAGGAAAATAATTAAAACACATCTATGAATATTATCAATTGACAACTGTAATACATATTTTTCATTAAAATAATAATTGATATTACTAAAATGTACTTAGATATACGAATCGATCATGAATTTACTAATAGAAGGGTGTGGGGTGTGAGTAACGGTGAATGAAGGAAGGATAATCATATCCACACCCACACTTTCACTCATTCAAAAGTTTAAATCAATAAATTAGTTTTTTATTTGTCTTACAGAATATAAATCTGTCATACAAAAATAGTTCACATCAACATTTCATTATTATAATATTAGTTTAGAATTGAAAAAACAATACAGAAAAATACAGTTTAACCTTCTCTATTCCTAGATAAAAACAAAAGAAAATCTCTTCTAGTTCTCTGTGTGTGTAAATATAAAATGATGACCAATAAATTTGTTTGATACGTGTTAGATATTACCTCATGATAAGTTGATGGATTAATTGTTTGAAAAATCTCTGATATTTGATTATGTAATAGAAAAATACTTTATTCACTTTTTTAATGATATAATTAGATATTTATTCGATAAAACGATAAAGACTTTATGCTTGTTTAAAATAATCACAAACAACAACAAAATATAATATGTCTATAGTATTTGAATTAGTCTTCATTTTATAGAATTGAACATACCAATCAGTTTATTTTTGATGCATGTTCTAACTTCACTGTTATATAAGAATAAATTTATCAACGCGCCGAATACGCTAATGTCACTTAACATCTCCAGGAGTGAATAAACCAATGGTGACACATTGTAGTTATAATCAATAACTATAAGACTATAAATTGGAACCCATCCAATAACATACATGCCACATATAATGATTGTTTGTCGCAATAAACTCCTATCACGTCGATTTAGGTTTGGTATTTGAATACTAACCACAGGTATTTGAGTCGCATTGTTGATTGGTTTAACTCGACAAGATGATGAATGGGTGTGTTTGAATATGGCAAGATTTAATAAAAATGCAATCAATGCTGGTAGTAATATGAGTGAAACTAACAAATATATAAACGACCATTGCGGGAAAGCACAATACTAAAAATAAACAAAATCTTTCAAT